TTTTAAAAAGCAAAAAACCTAAAACTAAAGAAATAGTATTGGTGCCCAATCTCTCTCTTTCAAGCAAAAAATAATTTTCAGATCCATAAAAATAATGTTTAGCCCTAATCGGCTTGGCTCAGTGGATAGAGCGTCGGCCTGCGGACTGAAAGGCCCAGGTTCGATTCCCCTGCAACCGAGGCACAGGCCCTTGACCGGAATCGAACCTGGGGCTCTTCAATCCCCAGGCCGACGCTCTATCCACTGAGCCAAACCGGTCAGGGCAATAAAATGTATTTTTTAAAAAATGTTTAAATATTTATTTCATGAGATTTATTTCTAATAACATTTACCTTTATGTTAATTTAATAGTTATCAAAATTTAATATATGTATCATATTTTGGCCAATTGTGTACCACCAGTATCTTAATAAATCAATGAAGAAGAAAAAAATTCTGATTTTTAGAGCCTATGGACTCAGGAATTTTCCTTTTTTTAAAATATATTTTATTGATTTTTTTACAGAGAGGAAGGGAGAGAGATAGAGAGTTAGAAACATCGATGGGAGAAAAACATCGATCAGCTGCCTCCTGCACATCCCCCACCGAGGATGTGCCTGCAACCCAGGTACATGCCCTTGACCGGAATCGAACCTGGGACCCCTCAGTCTGCAGGCCGACGCTCTATCCACTGAGCCAAACCGGTTTCGGCAGGAATTTTTCTTTTTAATAGATTGATTAATATAGGTATTAAGGGCCCGGCCGGTGTGGCTCAGTGATTGAGCATCAACCTGTGAACCAGGAGGTCATGGTTCGATTCCAGGTTAGGTTGTAGCCTTGACCCCCAGGGAGGGGCATGCAGGAGGCAGCTGATCGATGATTCTCACCATTGATGTTTCTCTCTCTCTCACACCCTTCCTCTCTGAGATCAATAAAAACTTTTTTTTTAAGAAAAAAGAAAGAAAAAGCCCAGCGGAACTTCTGTTCCCTTAGCAGATGCTGGCCTCCAGCCCCTGCGGCTCTTGCACGTGCTCTGTCCAACCCAGGTGGGTGCTGTGGGCCTGTGGGCCTGTGCGCTAGAAATAGATCTCCTTTCAGGGGACGTGTCTAGGCAGAGCTGTCCGGAAAAGTGGGTCAGCGCGTGGCTTTTCTCTTTTCACAAGTACACTCCTTCCCAGAGCTTAACTTGGGCCCAAGGCCAGGCTAGCTTGGCTTTTCCAGGGCTCGCCAGGCTGCCCACGAACCTGCGGGAGAGCTGCCCGCGTTCCTGCGGGAGTCCGGGCGGGGCCTTGCCCGCTGGCCCAGGACCTGGGCTGGGAGCTGGGCGAAGGGATGAGTGACTCAGGCGGAGGTGACCCGCCTCCTCCTCTCATGCACTCGCTGCTGCTGCTGCCCATGAACCGCCACCAGCGGGGAGCCTTCATAGCACAAATGCATGCCCCGCGGTTCCAGTCTCCTCCCGGGAGAGGCGCTCTCCTGCTCCCGCTCCCGCTCCCGCTGGCAGCTCCCGGGCCCAGGCCCGCTCCTCAGGCGAGTGGCTCCCAGCGCCCGCCCGGTGAGCTCGGCCTGGCCTGGTGCAGTGCTGGCCGCATGGGGCTACTGTGACTGCGATGATGTTCCAGAGCTCAGAGCTGGGAGAACTGCGTCTGAACCCCGCTCGTCTGCCCAGTGGCTTCACGGCCTTGGGGTGCAGCTCCCCCTGGCACAGCCTTCCTCTTCATCTGCCAAATGGGGCCTCGGTACTCACCACAGGGCCAGCTGTGCAGGTGAAATGCTTTAGACTTGAGAAGAGCCCAGTGTGAGAGAGGCGGCACATAGTAGGTGCTCCCACACATCTCCAGCTTCTTCCCACTGCTAGCAGGCTGACCCGTCCCATCGCAGCAGGTGACTCACCCCTTACCTCCCAGGTCGACTCAGTAAGCACTTCCCTGACCGGTAAGGGCCAGGGCCTGTGCTGGGCTCTGGAGGGAGGAGAATGCATCAGGCCCAAGCCTGGCCCCTGGAAGGGCGTAGCAGCGATTCTCAACCTGTGGGTCGCAACCCCTTTGGCCGTCGAACGACCCTTCCACAGGGGTCGCCTAAGACCATCCTGCATATCAGATACTTACATGACGATTCATAACAGTAGCAACATGACAGTTATGAAGTAGCAACGAAAATGATTTTATGGTTGGATCACAACATGAGGAACTGTATTTAAAGGGCCAGAAGGTTAAGAACCACTGGGATGGATAATTTCAATTGGGAAGATGAAGTTCTGGAGATGGATGGTGGTGAGGGTTTGCACCACAATGTGAATGTGCTCACGGTCCTGGCCTGCTGGCAGCCGCTGCGACGGTGGGCTCTGCTTGGTCCCGTCATTCCTCTATCCAGGCCATTATCTGTGATGACAGGCTGGCTCTGTATTTTTACATCATGTAAGATACTCCATAAAGCTAAACGGTCGCTACTACCATTACTAAATATCTATTAAGCACTCCTAACCACACAGAGCCAGTAAGATGTAGGTTCAGCTCCTGGAAGTCTTCCTTCTAATTCCATCCAAACCCCTCTCAGTTCGCTACCCTCCTTCCTGGAGGAGCCGGGACCCCTGCGTCCTGCCTGAGCGTTAAACGCATGCGCTCGTCGCAGCTTCTCGGTGATGCTGGGCGTGGATGCCTTTGCCTTACTTTACAGACATGGAAGCTGAGAACCAGACTGGGCAGCCCAGGGAGACTCAGCTTTTTAAAAAATATATATATTTTACTGACTTTTTACAGAGAGGAAGGGAGAGGGAGAGTTAGAAACATCGATCAGCTGCCTCCTGCACACCCCCCACTGGGGACGTGCCTGCAACCAAAGTACATGCCCCGATCGGACTAGAACCCAGGACCCTTCAGTCCGCAGGCCAACCCTCTATCCACTGAGCCAAACCAACTAGGGCGAGACTCAGCTTTAAGTCTTTCTGAAGGCAAAGGGACCCTCCGCTCATGCAGTCTGGTGGCCTGGCTTCTTGTGACAGGCTACTTTTTTGTTTGTTTCTACTTTAAGTGCCAAAAACCATGCTATGTGCAGGCCCAGTGGGAGGAACGTATGAGCAAACAGATCATTCTAAAACAAAGTCCTCAAATGCTCACAGCGGCCAACTAGTGGCAACGGAGGAAGCAGACAGGTGCGTGGAGGAGTGAGGGGCCAGCGATCAGGAGGCCAAGTGGGGTCAGCGACGTCTCACTGCCCCACACCCCAAGTTAGATTAATGTGGGGAACCCTGGCAGTTACTGGTTATCACTTAGCCCGCAACCAGTCCTCCTTGAATCCACCTCCCGTCTGCTCAGGTCACACCCACACCTGGGGTCCCGGGTCAGGCCCCTGGTCTCCACCAGGGTCCAGTGGCACATCTGACGCTGCTGCTCAGTGGACAACAGTCACCTGCAGAAGATATATCTTTGCCCCCAGCCCCTGGGCGTCTGTGCGGTGACTCCTTACTGTGCTGTCGGCCCAGATAGCCTGCCCAGTGCCGCGGGCTTACCTGGTGACTGGGTCACAGAGCAGCGCGCGGCCGCTAAGAGTCAGAGCACCCGGCGCAGGACATTCCAAGTCTCTCTCCGCCAGCTCAGCCAAGCAAACCGGTTCCCAGCTGCTGGGCTGACAAGCTGAACCCGGACTCTGCCAAGTCAGCTACACTGGTAAGTTCAGCCCTGACACCATCAGAACCCACTCCCCAAGTCTCTGCTGACAAAAACGCATGAATATCCAGTTCTTTTCTTTTTTAATATATCTTTACTGATTTCAGAGATAAGGAAGAGGGATTCTTTTTTAATATGTTTTTATTGCTTTCAGAGAGGAAGGGAGAGGGAGAGAGAGAGAAGCATCAGATGAGAATCATCGATTGGCTGCCTCTTGCACATCCCTTAATGGGGATCAAGGCCGCAACCCAGGCATGTGCCCTTGACGGAAATCGAACCTAGGACCTTTCAGTCTGCAGACTGACGCTCTATCCACTGAGCCAAACCAGCTGGGGCTTTTTTTTTATTTTTTATATCCAGTTCTTTCAGTGTGCAGACAGCTGAACACTGGGCGAGGCCGTGGTTTCCCTGGTGCATGCTGGGATCTGACTGCTATTAGGGTTAGAGCCAATGGGGCAGTCTTGAGGGGTCTCAGAACCCCTTGCCAGGGAAGCACCTCAGCGGAGCTCACCACAGGACTCCGAACAGGTGAAGAGCGCCCTCCTCAGGCGGGCAGGGGCTGTTCCACTGACAAGGAGCTCCTATGGGCGGGGGTGGGGTCAGTCCTCCCAACTCTCCCCATTCTACTTCCCAATCAATAGCCACCTTCACAGAAAAGAGCGGGTGAAGGTGGACTTCAATCTATCCTGCAATTATGCGTCAGGTAGGATCAAAGGTAGGTCTGACTTTAGCCGGGTCAGCCCCAGGGCTACAAAAGATAATGAACCACAGGGCCAGCACGCGATCGGACCTGAAGTTTAAAGCCGGAGCTTCCCATTTTTCCCTCTGAAATCCCTCCGACGCCCTCAGAAGGCGCCTGTCCCAGGAGGCTCCATTCCCGCCACGACGGTCACTCGCAGCAGCCTGCCCTTCCCTGAGCACTTGGTTCGGGAAGGCAGGTGAGACGCAGGTTAGCTGTTCTGCCAGGGGACGCTGCCAGTGTCTGTGTGGCAGCACCATCCACTCAGGGAGGCAGACCCCACTTTTCCGGGCCTGGTTCTGAAGCCCATGATGGATGTGCCGTGGGGCCTCGGGACGAGCAGTCATTTTCAGAACCCACTAAACCTGTACGAACCAGCCCTACAAGTACAGGCCGCCCGTGCTGTGTCGTTACCTACGTGATGGACAGCACGGAAATCAGAACTGAATGCTCCACTCTTTTCATATGAGCTTTGAAGTCAGAGTGGATTTGGGGACCTGGCAGCGGGAACAGCGACCTCACGCCAGCGACAGGCTCTGGCACGGCCGGGTGGAGGATCACTGATGGGCGGGACTCCTCCTAGGTGCCAGGCACTGCACACCGCCGCACAACCCGAGATGGGGGTGGCGACCCCATCGCTGCAGAGGAGCAGCAGCGGTCAGAGCGGGCAGTCTGTCACACCCCTGCCCGTGGCGGCCATCTTACTGGACCTCCCTGCAGTATTCGATCCGCTGATCGGCCTCTGCTTTCAGAAAAAACATCAAATGGCTTTGGACACCCGATCTCCCCCGACTCAGGGGCCACTTCTCTCCAGTGTCCTTTGCGGGTTTTCCTTCGCTTCTTCTTCTTGAGATGCTGGAGGACCCCGGACGTGGTCCTTAGATCTTTCACTTCCTCCTAGATGTGGTCATCCAGGCCCATAGTTTTAACCACCACCCAGACAACGGTGGCTGCTAAATTCACTGCTCCAGCCTCAACGCCAGACTGGACTACCCTGTCCGCTCCACATGCCACTCGTGTTTAAGAGGCAACTAGAGCTTAACCTGCTCCAATCCGAACTTCTGCCTGCCTGACCTCCACCCCCACTCACTCACTCGGGTCCGCCGTGCTCTCCCAAGGCCTCCCAACTCATCGGGAGGGTCCCACCGTCCACAAGGCCCTGCCTGCCCTGGCCCCTGGGGAAGCCCTGCCACCCTTCCTAGCAGCGCCTTAGCAACACCAGCCTCCTCTTCCTCGCCTGCAACCGCCTGCTGGGTTTCCTTGCTTCCACCTTAGACCTGCTCACCTTTACCACTCCCTCCTGGTCTATTCACAATCAAGAGCCAGAGAGATTGTTTTAGAAACTCAGACAGCCCTGCTTCGTTTGGCGCAGTGGATAGAGCGTGGCCTGCGGACTGAAGGGTCCCGGGTTCGATTCCGGTCAAGGGCCTGTACCTTGGTTGTGGGCACATCCCCAGTAGGGAGTGTGCAGGAGGCAGCTGATCGATGTTTCTCTCTATCCCTCTCCCTTCCTCTCTGTAAAAAAACCAATAAACTGTATCAAGAAAACAACAAACTCAAGACAAACCCCATCATGCCTCTATCTTTCACCCTCTTCCCACTCTCCTTAGGAGAAAAGCCACCAGGGCACCGCTCAGGCCTCCCGGCCGGCACACCGGCTCCACGGCAAGTCCCGTGGCGCTTTTCCCAACAGCTCCGGCCGCAGGGCCTCTCTCGGCAGCGGCCTCTCCTGCAGGGAAGCGCGTTCTCCGACATCAGGCGGCTTCCTCTCCCCGCTGCCCAGCCTTCCTCCCACCGCCCGGTTAAGACGGTGGCCGCTTCTCCGTATCCTCTCGCACCGCTCTGCCTCCCTTCACGGTATGGACCAGCATCCCGCTGGTGCCTGCTCCCGTCCTGCCTTCCCTCCGCCATGCCGGCGTCAGGAACGCGCTCCCTTTTTACACGCTGCATCCCCGGTCCTAGCGGAAAAGACACCGCCCACTTACTGAGCGACAAGGACCGCGGGGAACCTCCTCCCGCCTCTGGGAATCGCTGCACCGCCACTCGCTCTAGCAGCACCCGCCCTCCCTCGGGCTCCTGCGGCCACCCCGC